AGCGTACTTCAACCACGAGTTTCTTCAAAGTATGGGGATTTCAGTTGCTAAGCATAGGCTGGAGATTCTCAAGCTCGCTAGGAAGGAAACCGGAGAAGCCCCTAACAGCCTGACCAAGCTCATTTTGGCAATCAACAAAAGTACAAGAAAGTGCTTCAATAAGTACGTTAACAAGTCGGTTCATCACGAGAATAACACGATTAAGCCGCTGCCGGAGTCGGTTCCTCATCAAGATCAGTGGAGAGTAGCTCTGACGTTGTCAAGGAAGGGCAAGAACGAGAAAGAGCTGATGAAGATAGAGCGGCCAGTGGTAAGAAGCAGGAAGGTAGCAAAATCTGGCCCCTTGGATTATAGAGGACAAGAGAAGTTGCTGGTACCTCCTAGGAGGCTCCTTGACAGAAAAATGCAGGAGAAACTGGTGTTCAATTATAGGAGCTCCATAACTTCTGGTCCAGCCGATATTTCAATGGCAGCACAAGAGAGATTGATGCTCACAAATGGCCGTAGGAGTCCAAAACTGTCTGGACCGCTTAATTACGCTAGAACTCCAAGCCCAAAGGTTCATGGTGACCATTACAACAAGGAAAAAGCAGGTGAGGACTGTGATGATCAAACATTGTGGGCAGAACTGTTTCAGGACATGAAACCCACTTGATCATTTCTGAGGAATCCTTCTTACTTTTGTCGGGAAATTCGAGCCATGCTCATTCAAAAGCTCTCCTCCGATCATAGAGATAGGATCTTCTTTTATTCTAAAACTGGTATAATTAAAAATGATGTAATTTTATTCCGTTAATTTTTTAACAGTTTGGTATCAAAATAAAAGTTAAACTAAATGTTAAATATGATTTAAAAAAAATAAAGTTTAAGTACCAAAACATAATAAAAATAATAGTTTAGGTACTAAATGTATAGTTTACTCTTTCTTTTATTCTGAAAGTGGTATAATATCTTTTTAGTCCCTTTAAAAATAGTAAGATTATAATCTAGTACAATAATAAACATGTACTCTGATTCTTCTAAAATTTAAAAGATCACTTTTTAAAATCATGATGTGAGCTGCTGTTGGTCACACAAATCCTTTCCGCGGCAATCACCTAGGCCTACAAACATTTAAAAAAAACACACACAATGGGGAATAGAGTATATCAAGCAGGCAAATGGACATAATCTTTTTAAGTATTTATTGGAGAGTTGTCGCTCTTCTATCCATTCCCAGACAGCGCTATGGCTTCATATCCAACCGTCCGGTTCTAGTTATTGGATTAAAATCACATTTTGACAAGAATAAGAACAACTAGTTTCCTAATTGGTTGGTTTCAACGTCATCTCAACACATTGGAAATCAATACCTAAACATAAAATATACTTTAGATAGATGGCTTAAAATCACAAAGAGCCAAAACATTAACTATTATTTTGCTAGATTTAAAGAAACCTTCAAATCCGTCCTTGTCCTTTGAAAAAAGAAGCAAACAGGGCGAGTCAGGTATCATTCAGCAACGCACCCACATGGTTGCCTCATGCACATGGACTTGTCATGACCCTCGAAATGGAATGCAAAATAATTATAAATAAATTATTTTTTCCCACTTAGATGGAAGGGAAACATTGGGTGATATATGTTTCATCGGAGAATTCCATCTCTTTTTGGCTTTGGACATGCAGGAGAATCGGACAGATAATGAGGCGATATGGGGTGGTTTCCCCAATTTGTACTTATTATTATTAGTCAACGCCCAATGTAAATACTGCTCGATCTAGGGAACTCCTTTCTCATCTTTTCTGTCATCTTCGCGTTTTTTCTTCTTTTTTCCTTTTTGGTATTTTCAGCTAATAATTTCCACTTATTTTCTAGCAAATTTAGGTAATAAGCAAACCTAGCTTCACTCCATCCATCTATTTATAGGATGGGAGAGGGGTCAGTAATTCTGAAATTTCGCGATATTTTCGGAGTCGGGATTTGTAGTTCTTCTGTTTTGCGATTGTACCTCTCAGCTTTTATTTATTTATTTTTCATTCCGTGGCAGACTGCCCTTTATAACTGTTTGCGGCTGTACCGATTCATTCTTATTTTTCCCTATTTTCATTCTGATATTTTTTATTATAATATAATATTTTTTTATTAATTTTTTATTATGTTTTTATTAGATTCTAAAATAATGTATGAGAATTGTTTTTAATTTTGGTATGTTATCTTAACCAATTTACATAAATTATAATTATAATTTTATTTGTTTTATAAATTCAATTATATGGTTTTTATTTATGCAAAATGTATTTTTTATTAATATAGGGTAATTACAAAATATTATTTATTTTAAAAATTCTCAATTATTTGATAATGAAAATTCAAATATATTTACAATCTCTAGTGTTCGAACATGAAATCTCTAAAAACAATAATCATTCATTTAATCACTGAGATAATTTACTTCGTATTTATGCTAAAAATATTTATACGAGGTGCTGTGAATTTAGATTCAATCTTGTAAGAAGTAGGCCAAAAATGAAAATTTTCATATCACAAATATGACATTTATGAATTAGCATTTTAATGAGTTTCTTTTTTTTTATTCTTTCTTTATTTGTGCCACTAGATTAAACCTCCTTGCTATATAAGAAAGTTAATGCTACAGATGGTATAATGAATTAAAATGCATTTAAAATTAAATATTTGATATCTTATTGTTAAACTATTTTAATTTTATAAATAGATTTTAAACAATATCATGTAAATGTTAAAATTTAAATTATAACACTTTAATTTTTATTTTTAATCTTAATTTTTAATATTAGATGCCATCTATTCAACTTTATTTGTGTACTTTTTTTACTCGAAGGCATATAGAAACGCCGAAATAAGTAAATAGGTTATCAAAATAACAATAAAAACGCGACAAGTGAATTTCTTGTTTTTTTTTTTTATGAATTTCCAATTGAAAATGAAAGAAAAATAGTGTGGTGAGATGCCTTTACTTATTAATTAATGCTTAGACTAATTTGACTTTCACTCTAAATACCCGCTTCTCGTATTTCTATATATTTGCAGCAATGTCACTTACACGGCAAATACTAAATAAATAGTATTAGGCCTTCATACGTATCGAGCTCTCTCTTCTGCCATGTAGAAGCTGAAAAACCCTTTGCACGATAAAAATTCTTCGTATTATATTAGTCTCTTACGATAGCAATTCATTTTATAAGATTTGAGTGAGGAGCAAATTTGTTGACAATTTGAAGTTTCAATAGTAAGTGAAGGATGAAGAAAACGTAATTTGATTCGGGAAAAAAACATTTTTTAAATCGAATTTTAAGTTTAAATTTATAAAATTCCAATAACATTTCATTGTGCATAATTTGTTTTTAATGTTAAACCGTGCATCCTTTTGGCTTTGGGCATCTCTAAATCTTCGAAAATTGATTATGCCTCTCGCCTTTCGCCACATTGACATTGGACCAGCTGCCACGTGCTTTGAATTTTTAATATTTCACATGTGGTTTAGAGTCAAGATTTTATAATACAAAACTCTATAAAGCACTCGTCTACGAGATAAGCTTAGTGGTGTGATAGGCATGTCCGGCTTTGTGTCTTTGAGCTTGAGGATGCCATGGAATATTATAACCGGACTAAGATCCAACAACAATGTCTGATTTTATAACTGGGCCGAATGCTTTAAAGCGTAAAGATGAAGAATGAGATAGGTCTACTCCTTGGATTCTTTTCGTTTTCCGGCCTTGAAAAAACGAATTTTTATTACACCTGTCTGTACATCCTAGCACATGTAGCAGTACTTGGACAAGTGTCTCATTTGAAAAATCCATCTTCTTCAATTCACACCTTGAATAAATAAATGTATATGTACAAACACTACACTTGGAAGTTGAAACCACATGATGCCATTAGACAAATATAAAATAAAAGTTAAAAAGAGAAAACAGAGGCAGAGCATAAAGCATTTTGAAAATAACGGTCGAGTAAAAAATATCAATAATAATCTTTGCTAACCTAGAGGAGAACTATGGGGATTGACTTTTCCTTGTATTGAGTAGCCATATCTCGATATTCAGAAACCTACTATTTAGTAGCTCTTCTTCTGGCCAAACACAAATAAACTATCCAACGGATAATGGCTAGCAATAGCATACATCTTCCGTTCTCCATACCAGCAAGCAATAAAATGCATGTTGATATCAAAAGTAATCACCCTGATTGCATGCAGAAAATTCAGATTTCACCTCCAAAATGCATTGAGCACGGTACTGACGGATTTGGACTTCGTCTATTGTCGAATCTAATCCACCAGAGCCTCAATTCTTTGATTTAACAACAGAGCTCCATTAAAAAAAAAAACATTAACTCCACCACATAGAACGAAGGGGGTAACCATACCCGTGGCTAGTTTTCTATACTGGTGAACCCTGAGTAATCACTTGTTTTGGTTCAAATCTTTCTCAAACAAACCTAGAGAAAGAGATTTAATAGCGAAAGCACTGAAAAAACTCGGCAAATATTACACATGGCTCCATCGTAGTAAGCCTGTCTAGTCTGCTTCAAACCCCTCTGGTACGGTAACAATTAACGGCAGCAACCAATCGCTGGAAATAGTATCGGGCGTCATCTTCCTTGAGTTTGCCTTTAGCGACCCTTTTTTCTCAAAGTTCTCAACGTTACAACTTACAATGTATGAGCTGCTTATTATTCAAAGGTTGAAATTGAAGGTACAAATGGTTGGTAGGAGCTGTTTTGGCCTTGAATTCTCGTATCTGAACTTTTTTTAATGTTAAGAAAATGATTTTTGAAATAAATAATTAAGACTTAATACTAAGTTATTTTAGACTTGTAATGAATCTAGTTTGTTGCTTAAGGAATTAATTTTGCCTTTGGAAAAATTCATATAGCCCTTCACTTGTTCATTTCTAGGAAATAATTTAAGAATGAAAATGTACAAACACTTGGCTTGGAATTACCAATCACGTTATGCCATTAAGACAAAACCCCCGACCAAGTTGAGAATATATAAAAAAGAAAAAAGCAGAGGTTAAAGCATTTTGAAACTAAGCTCTTTTTTTTTGGCTAACATAGAGGAGATCTATGGGGGATGCCTTTCCTTCTATTGATTATACTGATAACCATGTCTTGATCATCAGAAATCTTGGTAGCTGATCTTCCACACAAATATAGACCATTTCTCTTCTTCCTCACAATCTGATCACACCCGTAACCCATGCTCATGTCATCGGGTCCTGATGACCACCTTATAATTGACTCATCATCATCCTCTACTATCGTTGAACGTGGCGTCTCGTTTGTCATTTCGCCGTCTATAATTTCTTGCGGGATAAGGAAATCTGGGCTGAGTGTCAAACTGATGCAATTCGTCAAGAATGGAGAGAGGTCTTTGTAATGTTTCAACACATAATCCACCTGATAAAATTTTAGGGTTTTGAACTTTAAACTCATTTCACTCATTCAACAAACTTAAAACTCAAGTGAACGAATCATAATCATACCTTGCACCCTAGAGAGCAATGGATGAATGGCTCTTGGAGACTTCTGTCACATGAAGTGCAGTAATTTCCATCCCCTTTGAATTGCCTGTTTTGAGGTCTTTTCTTTATGAACACCACTTTTGCATTGTTTATAGTATAGGCCTGAATTATGATCGTTAATCAGAAACTCTATTATTTATGTGGCCATGAACTGAACTTCTATTAGCGAAATGGAATCAATGAATAACAAACCTGGACATTAGAGAAATCTATAAGCTTTTGAAGATCTTCCAATCTGACGACATCATGATAGACGTATCGACGAACCTGAAGAAGCCTGTGGAAACTATGTGATGGTACGCAGTGAGGGCAGATACTGATGCAACAATCCAGACAAAACACGTTCTTTTCGTTCTTCTTTGCACTCTTATGGTAAGAACACCCCACGAAGAATTTCTGGGCGTCGATGGCTTCCAACCATGCAGGCCTTTGAATTCCCTAAACACACAAGAAATCTAGCCCATGATTTCAATAACTCACAAACACAAATCACCAAGGGAATTTTGAATTCTGATAGAGAAGTGAGACAAACCATGATCATCATTATAAAGAGTTGAAAGAAGAGATCCTCGTGCTTGAGCTGTAGCAGTTATCAAGATAGTGGAATTAGCAGAAGAGAGAGAGAGAGAGAGAGAGAGAGAGAGATGGTGTGGTATGAGAGTATTGACGGTGGTTCACAAAAGGGTGTATATATTTATTCCTTGGAGAGACGCACAACATTTTGTGAATATATAGGAGAGATACATGGCCACCTGTGGCTTTGGAGACTAGAGAGGAATTGGAAACCGGGAAAAAGAAGAGGGATGAAAAGAAAGTTACGATATATGACAAGAACGTGGGCTCTGTTTACGTGTCTTCCATTTCGGCTCAACACATTCTATATTGCTAAACTAGACACCCCTCATTTTTACTTCACTTGATAAATTCGTTTTACGATATATAAATATTATGGGTTTGTAATTTTCTTTTATAATATTATCATTTTTAAGATTTAAATATGAATTCATTTTGAAATGCGTATCTTATTAGTATTATATTTAATATTTATAATACAATTCTTTCGTGCAATATCTAAATTATTTATAATATATCTTAATTTCTAAATTAAAAATAAATGTTATTAACTTTTGCATAACATTAACACATTCTGATTATAAATGATATTAATTTCTTTTGCATAACAAATTCTTTTCAATTGTATTCTCGTCCTTGGTATGAATTGAAAACCAAGTAAAACCGTACATATAATATGATCATTAAGGCAATTTATAGGGTAAAAATGGGATGGCGATTTGAGGTGGGCATGCCGTGCATTGCTTTGTTGGCCGGTGCTACATCTTCATTAATTTCCAGCAATCACTCAACTCAGCTACAAGCACAGACAAGTACGGGGATCTCCCGGTTTTGAGGGATTCAACCGCACAACTACTCCACCAAGGATTGATCAATCTGTGTATTACCACGATTTCATGTTTCAATTAAATTATTAATGAATAAATAAATTCCTGATTCACTTCTATAAAACTATAAAAATCATTAAATATAAATATTAGTGTAACAAACAGTTGACCGACAAATCCCTAAACTCAATAAAAGCACTAATGAGTTTGTTAACCAATTTTACTAATCTTGAGGTGCCTTTAAGCTCCTTCCGAAGGCTAATATTGGACTTTGCTATTTCGCCCTCAATTTTACTAATCTTGGAGTTTGCTATACATGTGGTTAATATTAAATTAAAAATATATATCGATAATTATTTTATATATTTATAATAAATTATATATAATTCGTTTAATTAAAATATTATTTAAGAACATTTAACGTTAGACTAAATTCACTCGTGGAGAAAAAAACTATCAACAACAACAACAAAACCCAATTCCCATATGTATGGGGTAAGGGGGAGGTAGGGTAGTAGGCTACCCCCAACGCCAGGTTGAGAGTAGCTTCCGTGGAAGACCTCCGGCAGTCAGAAAAATTAAAAATTTAGATAAAATGCAATGCATGTATAAATAAATACATAAATACATAGCTAAACAGTATTCATATGCAGTCATTAAAACCATATGTGCGTCTGTAACGGGAATTAATCCCTGCATAATAATCCCTGCGAAAGAATCTCTGCATATAGACAGAAACATAAGATCCGGCTAAATTTAAAAGAGGAAACATGAAGAGAATGATACACAGAAGTCAACGTTAGCAAGCCCAGTTCTAATCCTTCATAAATACCAATAACAGAAACGTATAAAAAGTATAAGTCATGGAAAATACTACAAAAACATTAAAAGAAGACAGAGATGATACACCCTATAGATGTGACCCACACTACTCGACTACCCTAGTCTTTAGCCTCCATATTTTCCTATCAGAGGTCATGTCTTCGGTAAGGGCTAAATCCCTCAAATCAGATCTCAAGCAGTCTTCCCACTTTCGCCTTGGTCGTCCTTTCCTTCTGGCACCGTCGACTGTAATCGACTCTACCCTCCTGACCGCATCCGACGGTAGTCGCCTAAGGACATGCCCAAACCACCGTAGTCTTCCCTCCCTCAATTTTTCAGAAACAGACACCACCCCAAGGACATCCTAATAGTAGAGTTTGTCGTCATATCCCTCAGAGTCCTACCACATGTCCATCGAAGCATTCTCATTTCTGCGGCCTCAATCCTCCTTACGTGATCCTTCTTGGTTGCCCAACATTCTGATCCATACAACAGCGCTGGTCTTATTGCCATTCTATAAAATTTTCCCTTAAGTTTTAGAGGGACCTTCTTGTCATACAGAACTCCAGTAGCGGCCCTCCACTTTAGCCATCCCGCCTTTATACGGTGTGTAACGTCATCATCTACACCCCCATCTTTATGTATCATAGACCCTAGGTACTTGAAACAATCCTTTGAGGGGAGAACGTGTCCTTCTATGCATACTTCTACATCTTCATCATTTTGGTTCCCATTGAAGTTTGAACATAAATACTCTGTCTTTTCAATATTGATCCTTAAACCTTTTTCTTCCAAAGCAGTCTTCCAGGTAGCCAGTCTACTATTCAACTCAGATTTTGTTTCAGCAACTAAGACAATGTCGTCAGCGAAAAGCATACACCATGGTACACCGTCTGGTGTCGCACAATAGATGTCGTCCATAATCAAGGCGAAGAGGTAAGGGCTAAGAGCCGACCCCTGGTGGAGTCCGATTTCCACCGGGAATGCCTCGGTGTCGCCAACTGTAGTCCTGACGTAAGTAGTAGATCTACAGTACATATCACGAATCGCCCAGATATAAGCAGTTGGGATCCGTCTCGTTTCCAAAGTCTTCCAGATCGTATCGCGGGGAACACTATCATAAGCCTTCTCAAGGTCAATGAACGCCATGTGAAGATCTCTAGACTTTTCCCTATATTTCTCCATAAGCCGTCGAAGTAGATGAATCGCCTCCGTGGTAGACCTGCCTGGCATAAAGCCAAATTGGTTTTCCGAAACCCTAGTAACTTGTCTCAACCTAGCCTCTATCACCCTTTCCCATAGCTTCATGGTATGACTGAGGAGTTTAATACCTCTGTAGTTACCACAACGTTGGGGATCTCCTTTATTTTTATAGATTGGTATCACCGTAGACTCTCTCCACTCCTCTGGCATCTTGGCAGTCTCTAAAATAATATTAAAGATGTTGGTCAACCACTTAACTCCCTCTTCTCCTAGGGCCAACCACACAGTGATAGGAATTTGATCAGGACCGACAGCTTTGTCCCTTCCCATCTTTCTAAGAGCCATTTTGACTTCCTCAAACCCAATCCTACTTGTAAATTATTTTTCAATGAGGATATATTTAAAAATAACAATAATTATTTAAAAATGACATTAAATAAAAATTAAAATATAAAAAACTCAAATAAAATCTGATTGAATTTAAACTTAAAATATTACATCTAATATTGATCAAACTTGTGATATAATAAAGAAGCCATCACTTAAATCCTTATTAAGTCCTAAAATCAATCCCGAATAATCCTCCATTTCCTGTTATAGAAAATATATATTACATCTGAATCAAATCCATTGGAGTACGTGATAATTCAAGTAAAGAACAGAATTAAGGGAAAAGGAAAGTCCCCAACGAACATCTACACGTGCACGAAAAGGCAGACTCACGTGGAGAGGGATCCAATTGAAAGCCAAAGGGTGTCTTCAACGGACACAATGGTTCCTCTTCTATTGAATAAGTCAGGTGGTCAAAAGGCAAAGGTCCTGCGCATCAATATAATATAACCATTTAGGGGTAACTAGGCGCGCTGCGGAAGAAGAAACCCAGAGTGCACCGGCATGCAAACCGCACGAGGGGTCATTTCTCTGACCCAACTGCCCTTTTCATTTTACACGTGTGACTGAATCACTCGCAGCAACTTTGTTCAGCGTCAGAGAAAAAATATGTTTTTTATTTATGATTTTTTTTAATATTAGTGAAAAAAATCCAGTTTTTATATGGTTCGTACAATCCTAGCGTTGTTACCAAAGCCTAGCTCACGTGCAATGCTGCTTTCTTTTTCTTACAGCAACTGCTACTTTTTTTAAAGCATTCAAAAGGTGGTGAGTGTATCTGAATGTGAGAATCTATTTCATTATATGTTCATTATCAAGTATACTAATGAAGTGTTCACACAATCATCAGTTCAGCAGGCAATATTTATATTGCATTAACCTCGTAAGACAAATCAATATGGATCATAATAGATGTTGCACAAAAGAAAAAGAGCATTCGAATGATCCAATCCAGCTTCAAGGCTTCTGAGCAGAAAACACAATGAAAGATCGCTGAACCTTCTTTGAATAGTTCATAAGACCCGAATTTGTCCATAATTCCTCTATCTCCTCCTCTGTAAGGTAGTTATAACTTTGCATAACTCTCTGCAACAAATATGAAAGGTAAGAACAATGTCTGATAGAACTCCTGGTACTGCAACAGCATTATGCGTTACGATGCACGGAAGGCAGACATCAACATACCAGTTCGGGTTTTATTTTCGCATATGTAGGGGATGTTATTTATAGTTAGGACAGAGAGAAACAACAATACATATATCAGCAAAAGTGAACGGAGAAATAAAATGAGACGGGGTTGTAAAATGCAGCATGATTAAACACTCGGTTTAGAAAATGCTAAAATGTTTTAGAAATGATTAAACACTGTACTTTACCTCTCTGAAAGGTCTTACTAACCAGGGGGTAGAAGAAGTATAGCGAAGAAAAGTGCTTCCAACAAGGACTCCGCCACTTCTCAATATACGACTAATTAGCAAGTGGCCGTCTAAGAAGTTCTTTCTAACTCAGAGAAAAGTCCTGAGAGCTATAGCCATACACTGAAAAAAAGTAAAATTGCACTGTAGTAGCATGCCATGTAAAGAACATTATCAAGATGTTTAATAATCTTAAACTCCAGTTGTGAGGATTTTTCACAGCTCCGTCTACGAGACAAATGAATTCAAAGATGCTTATTGAGTTGATTCTTTTCTCCAGATTAGACCTGCAAATGAATTCTAGGAAAACTATGCCCAACCAAACCAGTTTTATGGACAAACAAACTAAGACAGAAGAAAATAACAAATTCCGTTTATGTATACGGAGGTGTCAA